CGTACTGTATCTTGGGTGATTCAGGTTATCCGTGCAGGAGCTACATACTAATATAGGAACAACCACAATCCGCCGCTGAACCCAGTGCAAAGTCGATATCAAAACCGTCTGTGCGCCGCGAGAGTCGTCATCGAGCAGGCCTTTGGGAGGCTGAAAATGAGGTTCAGGATTCTTTTATCCGATTACCGTGGGAAAGTTGACACCATGCCGACTGTGTGTTTAGCAGCATGCGTACTGCACAACATGGCCGAGAAGCTGAAACAGCCGGTTCGCGAGGTCCCTGCCGCCGAAGATCCCCACCAGCAGTTACGTCATGTGGACGACGAACCACTGATTGACGGTGGATTAATAGCGGATGCTGTGCGGAATGTGTATGCCGAAAGACACGCCAAGTCGAGTATGCGGTAAAAATGCATGGTTCGGGGATAGACCATCCGCGGGTGAGACGCGCGGGCTGTCGGGAATAAGCGGTGCGAAGCTCGCATACAATGGTAAGGAGGGTGCGATAAGGTGCATAAAGTACCCCCCGAGCAGTCTTACAGCACCTTACGTAAGGATCGCAAGGAGGGGCCCAAAAATGCCTCCTATGAAATCGCCTTACATGAGGAGGCCCTCCTTGCACCTTGTAGGGTAAGGAGCCTTACGGTGAGGAGCCTTATGTCACCTTACCTTACGCCAACCCCCCAAATCGTAAGGATGTGAAAGCGACTTGCCATGAAACCGTAAGGTACCTTACAATTTTTGCTCCTTATGAGGGCTTGTGAAATAGGCCCCAGGGTTGTGTGACTGTCACAGCACGCACAACGTACGTGCGGTGACAGCACGCGCGATCTTACGAAAGGAGGAATTTGGAATTTTCTCGCTAAATTGTGATGATTTCGATCTTACAATATGCGTCATTAGATGTCATTCGTAGTTGTTGTAATCTCTACCCCTTACATGATCCGTATCCTCACCATTCTCTCTGCTATTATCGTTGTTGCAAATGGTTCGCAGGGCTGCACGGTAGACGCTCAATGCCCAGGTGGAAAATGCCTTTGCACAAAAGGGAACTGTATGTTTCCATTATCTTTCGTGAGCTGTTTGCCACAAAACCCAAATGATTGTCTCGGCTTCATTGACTGTGAATGTAAAGCGGGTATCTGCCAATAATGAGGTATACACTCGGTAACCATTGACAGTCGTATTATGATCCCATTATGTTCAGGATCTGTGATGCATCCGAGTTATTTCTTTCATTCTTTGTATTTATTTCATCGCTTAATACCTTTGGATGACAATGTTTTCCTGTGACGCAACCGATATTCAATCTGAGAAGTTCATTGCGAAGTCCGTACCACAATAGTAGAGTCTCGAATCTCTTCGTGACCCAAATATATCCGTAAGTACTTCAATGCTTCTCACTCTGATTTTCAGTTCTGGTCTGTTCGACAGTCATTGTTGCATCACTACCGAAGATATTTGTCATAGCCGCACGAGCCATGTTGAGTTACACGAGAGACAGTCGTCAATATCTCCTCACGAGAAACTCATAGAGTAGTGCAGAGCCGTGTGGAATTATTTTGGCCCCACATTGAAGAAAAGGCGAGAGATAATATAGTTCACCTCAAGAGATAAGTAGGCCTGTGCACGAGGTATCTGCTCTGTTTTAAGCCCACAAAGGCCATTACCTGAACCGTTTGTAGTATACCTCGAAGACACTAGTAGTACCAGTCTGGTACAAAGGCATATACTATCTCTTATCGGATCTTCCGAAGTACGTTTCGATCACAGAGACGCGTCAGATGCGTCGCATTTCTCACCCGGATAAAACTCAGGAAAACAAGAGTCTTGTTACAAGACATTTCGCATCTTCAAACCCCCACATTATTATTTCCGACAGCTGTGAATCCGATGATTCTTCATTATCCATATATGCCGTTTTCGTCATCGAGCGGAGCAGATAACTACCCTTGAAGTGTCCAAGCGCCTCGTGTGGCAGCCACACAGCATTCCCGTCATCAGTTATTATATAAGTTCGAAAACTCAACATCCTTCTGGCCAGGGTGTTCCGGCAAAGGAAAGAATATTCAAGGGAACGGAAGTGATTGGCAAAATACTCGTGTACAATGGAGTCCATTGAATGGACGGTCCAATGGAGGAATCTACGGGCCTATAGGAAATTTTCGCCTCGCAGGATGATAATTCCCTATGAATCAGACCTATTGAGGCCCTCACATTGTTCTGCAGAAGGGTTTAGTCTTGGAATCTTGATTAAGGGTGTTTAGTCCAAGTGTATGTGATCTGTTGTTAAACAAGGAATAACGCTTGCCAAGGGAAACTTTCCCTCGGCAAGCGTTTTTCTAAATAAGTATTTTCCGGTGCAAAGAAATCACATAGACGCTGGGGATGGGAGAGGTATTGACCAAACATTAAACCTGAAGCCCGAAAGCAGAGGTCTGGGTTTGGCAATACTGACCAGAGGATGAGTCAGCGAACTGATGTGAATAAGCTACCCGAGCATTAGTCACAGTCTGTGACTCACAGAGTCAAGTAATACTTGACTCTGTCAGTCACAGACTATAGTGACTAGGGTGGCACGAGTTATTTCCTTCCAATTATTTCCTTCCATTTCCTTCCGAAAGAAGAAGGAAATTTAAAAAATTCTTTCGAGCAGGAAAATAGGAAAAATAGGAAAAATAAGGAAAAATAAGGAAAAATAAAGAAAAAAATTTCCGAAACGACCATAAATGGGCACAAAAATCCCAAAAAACGAGAGGTCTCACACCAGGTGATGCCTGGGATATATGCCTGTGTTAGTGGTCTCGGTTAGACTGAGTATAGGGAAACCTTGTTCGCCAGGATGATCAAATATTTTTGTGGCGAGCGAGAATTCGATTCTCACAACACAATTGGGATTGACGCCACTTTCAACTTGACTTACGCTGATTTGGCTATCGCAGTGGTATGTACCCTCCCTCGTACTTCAACGGCTCATCCCGTGGCCTTAGTGGTGATGAATAAAGAATCTTCGCCATGTGTGGAGCATGCCCTCAAAGAGCTATCCGAAGCAGCGAAGGCTATTGGTTTGGACGACTGCAACCCTACGGAAGCCGTCCTCGACGGCAGCGGCGCTCTACATGCTGCTCTGATAAAACACTATGGCAGCGACGGTATCAGATGTATCAGCTGCTATTTCCATGTTCTCCAAAGAGCAAAGACGGCCAAAAGTAAGTCCCGCTTGAGCAAGCGTCTCTGGCGCGAGATCAAGAAGGATCTAGACCTTATGGGAGAGGCTTGCAGCCG